GAAAATCGAAAATTTTAACACAAAAATAGTGTTTTTTTAACTACGGCAACCGTTTACATGCAGAAGATAAAGTGTCGGGACAAATTTTTTTTTTTCATTTTATAGTACATAAAATAAGCTTTAATTTGATATATGTTTAAAGGACGCAGTATTTCCGGAACATTTTCAAAAATTAAGTTGAAAAAGTTAGTTTTTGTAAAAAAGTTGCAATTTTAAATCCCCCCCCATGAGCAGGTTAAGTGTTAAATTTTCAAAAAAATTATATCAAATGAAAGGAAAATATCTAAGGTTTTAGTTAAAAAAAAAATTATGTTGATTTGTTGATTTTTGAAAAAGTTATGGAAGTTTTAAGAAAAAAAAGTGAAAAAAATGACAAAATTTGTCGATTTTTAAATTTGTAATTTTTTTGGATATTTCCCCCATTTGCGGGGAACGAGGGAAAATTTTTAAATTTTTAAGGGTAATGTCTTCAACTAGATACAATTTGTGATCTTTTGACGTATTGTTAAAAGAAATCGGTCCAGTGAGAGCTGAGAAAAAGTAGTGACAGACACAAAAAAAAAAATAAACACATCATGGTAAAATTAATACCTTCTCAGCTTCGCATCGAAGCTAATATACCAAATGATAGGTAAAGACATCAAGTATCTATAAAAAAAAATTATATTGATTTGTTCATTTTTGAAAAATTTATGGCAGTTTTTAGTAAAAAAATTTTCGAAAATTAGCGAATTTTAAATTTGTAATTTTTTTGGAGGTTTCCCCCATTTACGGGGAACGAGGGAAATTTTTTCAATTTTTGAGGGTAATGTCTTCGACTAGATACGATTTGTGATCTTTTCACGTATTGTTGAACGAAATCGGTTCGGTGAGAGCTGAGAAAAAGTAGTGACAGACACAAAAAAAAAAATAAACACATCATGGTAAAATTAATACCTTCTCAGCTTCGCATCGAAGCTAATATACCAAATGATAGGTAAAGACATCAAGTATCTATAAAAAAAAATTATATTGATTTGTTCATTTTTGAAAAATTTATGGCAGTTTTTAGTAAAAAAATTTTCGAAAATTAGCGAATTTTAAATTTGTAATTTTTTTGGAGGTTTCCCCCATTTACGGGGAACGAGGGAAATTTTTTCAATTTTTGAGGGTAATGTCTTCGACTAGATACGATTTGTGATCTTTTCACGTATTGTTGAACGAAATCGGTTCGGTGAGAGCTGAGAAAAAGTAGTGACAGACACAAAAAAAAAAATAAACACATCATGGTAAAATTAATACCTTCTCAGCTTCGCATCGAAGCTAATATACCAAATGATAGGTAAAGACATCAAGTATCTATAAAAAAAAATTATATTGATTTGTTCATTTTTGAAAAATTTATGGCAGTTTTTAGTAAAAAAATTTTCGAAAATTAGCGAATTTTAAATTTGTAATTTTTTTGGAGGTTTCCCCCATTTACGGGGAACGAGGGAAATTTTTTCAATTTTTGAGGGTAATGTCTTCGACTAGATACGATTTGTGATCTTTTCACGTATTGTTGAACGAAATCGGTTCGGTGAGAGCTGAGAAAAAGTGGTAACAGACACAAAAAAAAACACATCATAGTAAAATTACTACCTTCTCAGCTTCGCATCGTACCTAAAATAACACTACTCGGTTACAACGGTAGTGCCGTTGTAGCTACTATTATTTGTTATTTAACATATTTTTAAAAATTATCAGTGTGACCATACATTTTTTTTTTTTTGATATCATAAATGTTAACTGACAACAATGTGCTGCTTTACTACTACGATACTTTAAGCATATCTGTCGACCCCATTTTTTCGTTAAATGTTTTTTTATTTAATATATTATTAATTAAAATTAGATTTATTTTTATAAATCATTGTAAATGTGAATGTTATTACAAGCAAAATTAATTTTAAAGATAGATTTTTGGGGCAATTTTGGAAATTGAACCTATTATATTTGTTTTTATTGTTAAATGAAGAATGGTCTAAATAAAATGATTACTTTGATTTGTACATTTTTATGAAAAAATCATTAAAATCATTATTTAACGAAAAAATGAGGGATATTCTTAAAAAAACACACAGATATATGGAATGATAATTTTATCATGAATCTTTTAATTAATAAAAAAATAAAAGTAATACCGATAATTTATTTTTATTATAATATTATTATATTGATTTTTTTTCTTTAGAAACGTAATTTTTTTCAATTTATCAATCATTAAGCATTTTTATAGTCATTACTAATACCTTATAAGATTAAAACTTCATTTTTTTAAACGTCAACTTACAGAATAATAATAATAATTATTATTAGATAATGATTTATTTAAGAAAATTATAGATTAAATAATGATCTAATATCAGAAATTACTAAAAATTTGAAGTAATTACTGAAGATGAGGTTACGGTTATGCTCTTTTTATCACTAGACACTTCTAAGCCTCTTTATTATAGCATTAGAATAAAATTCAATTTTCAAATTCCAAAAATAAAATTCAAATTGACATAATTGTACAAGTTAAAAAAATAGTTAACTTGGCTAGTCTTTATTATTTAGATTTAGATAGTAATTTTTAGAACTGAAGTATAAAAAAATAAAAGAATATTAAATTTGTGATATAACAAACTCAAAATCTTCATTGATCGCTTTTTGAATGGAAAGTAAACTTAGTTAATTTTTTAGCTCTAGTTAAACTAAACTTTTATTATTTTATATCTTTATATAAACATATCTTTTATTATATTCTATAATCGCATAATTTAAAATTTATTTACATCTGTTTATATAAGTGATTTGCTCTAATTAAATTAATTTTATATAGAAAAAAGTAACTCGATTAATTGATAAAAACATTTATTACACACAAGCACATACATTAAATTCAATATATGTTAACTTTTTATAACACAATAAATCATCAAGTATATTTTAATAATAAATGATATTTAAATTATACATCAACAATTCTGTATGCACATACAAGTCATAAACCGGTACATCTTAAAGGTAAAAATAATTGAAAAAAATCATTATATTACATGTTTGAGGTTTAAACTATGAATTTTATAATTACGATCAGTATTAATTAAATTAAAATAGAGTTAAAAAGAAGGGTTCTTCTCCTAAAAAAGAAATGACAATTGTAAAAAAAATATTTTCATACAGTTATCCTTACAGCAAAAATATTAACACATCATTCAATAATGATGTAGTAAAAATAATACATTTTTATACCAGAAAATATTTTAAATAGAGATTGATTAAAATAATATCCTTTAATTAATGAAAATGAATAATTCAATAACCAAAATCATGGTTCATTTAAGAAATATTTGATTCAAGTTATTACAGAAGAATATTCACTTACATGAAACGAGCAAAATAAAACTGAAATTTTCATATCAACATGTATTATTATCATTTTGTAAATATTAAGTTGTTAAAATTACAAAATTGTACATAATACTATCAGTACATCGGTAACATAAACTTCAATTTATAATTATAATATAATATATACTAATTTCATTATTTATATTTTTTGGATTTTTTGTCACCTTTACTTTATAAATGCTATATATATACAGATTGATTGGTAATTATACCTCACACAATAACTTTAGAAGTATTAAACATATAATTTTTTATATGAAGTTTATAGTACCCTATATTTTATAATTTGCAAACAAAAATTTGGTTTTATTCCCCTTCTACCCTATGAATTAGTAACAATTTGAGTTTTCTAAACAGAAATATATATTTAAATAGCATAAAAATAAGGAAATTACAATACAAATAATAACCATACATTAACAACTTTTGAACCGGTATTTTGGAAGTTGTTAATACTTAACTATATTGACTAGAAATGAAGCGAAGGTTAGTTTATTTTTATCACTAGGCATTTATTAACTCCACTATCCCACCCAATCAGGTATTAATTTTAATATATTTTAAAGTGCTGATATAAAAGTTTTTATATTTATCTTTATACTTTTATCAACCAGTCATTTTTATTTAACATATATAAGTTACTTATCGGTACTTCAAATCAATCTAAATATTTTTGTTAAAATGTTGATTACATTAATTAGCTTGTAAACAGGTTATTATGTTTTATACTTTTACAATATTTCGGGAGGTATAATTATTCAATCACCTTGTAAATATTCATAAAAACCGTATACGATACTTAAATTTGTACATAACATTAAATTAGTACACCAAATTAACTTGCTTATACAACACATGTACATAAATGCAAATATTGTTACACGTTAAGTTCTCACATGTGTAACTATGTATCATATATTATGATATATCATAAGTTTTTATTTGTTTTGGAATAACTAGTTAGAAAAATTTCTAAAAATATATAAACTATATTCAATTCTACGATTGACAAAAATGTGTAAATATGTTTTAATTTACTTGATTATTTTATCTAATAAAGTAATTGAACTCATTATATAAGTTCAATTGCAGATCTTATTATTTATGTTTACAGTAAAAAAAAATTCATAATAATTAAACCATGCGTTAAAGAAAAATCTTTTAATCTCTTAAATTTTAATTTATTAAAATTATTTAAGTTTTATAAAGGAAGATATACTATTTATATTTAAGAATAAACAAATATGTACATGCATTTATTTAAAAATTGTCAATAGCATAATAATATTATACAATAAATAATAAAAGAATTATTAGATTTTATAGTAAAAATTATGATAATAACTAAAATAAAAATTTCAAACTTTCATAAGAAATTTACTAAAATTTACTTTATAAACTTTAACTTTTGGCTCAAATAAAAAAAATGGTTTTTCATTGTATAGTTTTACTTTTTAGAAAGGGCTATTCATCCATTTTTTAGGCTCTAAAGTAAATAATAAATGTTTTTATTATTAGAAAGCATATTTATACAGAATTATCAATAGGTAAGGAATCAGGTCCATTATTACAAGTAATGAGAACAATGAAATCCTTTCCTTACTTACTAAAAACCCTATATATAAAAACTATACATTCCTCTCTTTTAGCGCTCTTTTAATAAATTGTGATGCGTATAAATTCCTGGAGTTATATTTTTCGCAAAGGATGATTAATCAAATGATTATAAAAAATTGTTTCACTTGAAGGTCAAAAAATAATTTTTAATGTTTTTAGTTTATACATTAATAGTGGCAATAATTATACGTCAGTTTTTAATTATTTCAAACAAAAAAAAATGTTATGTTTTTAACAGCGCAGAAAATGTTATGATATAAGCTTAAAATGTAAAATGTTGTCATGACATTCTTATAAAACGAAAAAGAAAACTCAAAAATAATTGACACCAATAAATTTATATTATTGTTAATCATAAAACTTTTATAACGTAAAAAATTTTTTAAATTGTAATAATATAATTTTAAACTGCTTATAGTAGTGAATTATGTTTCAATTTTTTTTAATGTTGAATGTTAGCCAAAAAAACCGTACAACATTTTAATATTAAAAACTTTAAAGATGAAAATTTAATAAAGTTTATATGTTGAATGACGTTAAACTCAATTATAAGCTAATGTTATAGTTTATTTTAACGCTCAACAAAAAAAAAACAATTTTTATTCAGCCATGAATTTTAATGGATTGATACAATCTAAGAATTTTTTTTATGGATAACAAAATTAAAAAAATATATCTTCTGTAACTATTTGTATTACGATACTCATACTTACAGTAAGATTGTGTATGTTTAAAAACCGCGATTAAATTATAGGTGCCAGATATTTTTGTCAGTTTGAAATTTCATAACAACCCATTCTTATTAGCACCATTGTTTTAAAACATTAATATAATAACATAAATAGTTAAAGTACATTATGTAAAATATTACAAATGTGTATTTAAGAGTCAAATTAAGTTAACTTAATCTTTATTTATCGTGTAGTAACTTAAAATATATCCTATTGAAATTTAAAATGCTGATTTTAGACGTTTATTTTTCACTTTAAAGTTTAATTATATGATTTAAATTGTATTTTGTAAAAAAAAATTATAGATTTAAAAATATTAATAAAGTAATTTAAATTTAATTACCCTTTCTAAATCTATTTTGATTGTAATTTATTTAACAATAAAGTTTACTTAAAAATAAAGAATTTGTTATAAAAAATCATTAATAATTTTATATTTACATACTTAATTTATACTGTTTATATTTATAATGAATATATGTTTTACACTGAGAATTTTTATTTTTTTGAGTTATGCAAATTTTAAAATGAACTACTTATTAATTAAAATTTTAGTTGATAACAGTTTTAATTTTATAAACAATTATAATATAATTGAGAAAAGTATTTAACTGCTGAGAACCAATAAAAAAATATCTGTGTTACTCCAAATGAAGGCCCTGATTTCATGTAATCTGTAAACTGTAAACATTTTCTCTAAAACTATCTAAATTTTATGACTAGGATAAATTTTTTTATTAGTATTATATTTGATTTAATTTAGACAGCCTCATATCTCTCTGCCCTGTAATGTAATTTAATTATTACATTTTAAAGCGAGAACATTTCGTCAATCTATTATTAAAGAAAAAATTGAAATCGGAACATATTTCGAAACTAAAAAACGTGAACTTATAATTATAATTATATTTTCATTTTATGTATACCATAAATTAAAATATGAAATAATGGTTTTTACATTTTACGTTTGACCTTTAAATAATAATTTAAGATTTAGAGGTTTCTAGTTACATAAGTATTATACATTTTATTGATTATTTTTTAAAAGATTTTCGAATGAAGTCTATACAAAAATGAAATATTTTAAATTTATTAAAATAAAAATTACCTTAAAAAACAAGTATGTACAAAAACTAAAAGATTTGGAGTTATTCAATTCGTTTTTATAATTTTTAATAGGTATCCGATGGTAAAGGAAAGTCAGCTATCAAAAATAAAATTAATTCAAACACTTTACTTACTATAGTTATTATTTATATAAATAAGTTATCTACAAGTACATTATAATATATTTATACAATATTAATAAATTATGCAGTATTTAGGCGGTAACTAAGGCCAATAAGCTAATCTATAAGATATTGATTACTACAGATTTTTTTTTTGTCTACTTTACAACGAATAGGTTCGAAGTATTTTCCTGACGTTAGTAGAGTTATAATATTGTTAGAATTATTGAGTTATACTAATATTTTGTTTTCATGTTTTCAATTCTTATTTTTTAATTCATGAAAATCACAGAAATGTCGAATACAGCTGTGTTTGGCATCTTAATATTAGTGTCACTTTCCTTCCTATTAAATGTGTTATGTCATTTTAGAAAATCATGATTTTTTAGGGTCTACTTAAGTATATAATATTTTATAATTAAAGCTTTTTATTTTAATAACAATACAATTTTAATTTAGCACCCTAAAGTAAATGATCAATGTTATTATTTATAATTTAAATTAGAATAAGACCGACCAAAGAAAAAATGTTGTATAAAACAGATAATAGAGTAATTATATTTCGTATAAGTTGATAGTTGAAATGTATCATTTGTGTTGGTTTCTGTTCTTTTTTCTTCACTTGTATTTTCACATTATAAGATTTGTTTAACTATATAGCAAGGGTTGGGTGATTTCTGAAAATAATGAAATAAACATTAAAGTCATATAAAAAGAATATAATAAAAATTAGTATTTTATTATTTTATAATTTTTGTTTCATTTTATCATAAAGAGAGAATCAAAAATATTTATTAGTATGTTTTCATACCAAAATTTAAATTTAAGCTAAGTAAATAATGGCCGTGATCATGACGCAGAGTAGTACTGTTTGAATTGTCTTTGGGGCGTTGTTTATAGCAGTTGTGACGCTCATATCTCTCAATTCTGGATCTATTTAATAGAATAGAAATATAATTATTAAATTAATATTTAAAATATTTAAAAAAAACAATTGTTTCATTTTACCTATGTAAACCGAGTTTCCGTTAAATGTAGTAGCATCTGAAAAAAAAAGTATTAAAACATTAATACTATTTTTAATTACAGTTTAAAAAAATAATCAAAATGGTGTTAGTTGATGAATTTAAAACATTTGAAGTATTAAGCATTAAAATATAGTATAATAAAAGAAAAATTAGATTATTTCAGCAAAATTATTACCGTTCTTCATAAGGGTGGTAAAAGTGAATGGACGAGAGATTTCGCTCCAGCCGTAACGGTTTCTGGACTGTACTGTAGCCTCATAACTGGTACCTGGCTCCAATGAGGTGATTACTTGAGACATTGCTTGATCGACGATGTCAGTACGCTGAGGAGTGACTGAAATTTCTGTCCAGTCATCTGTGCGCTAAATTAATAAAAACTTTAAATTAGGAAATCATGCTATAAAATAATTAAAGCAGTAATATTATTTGAATATGCAATTTATAATTTGATAATTATATATATTCGACATAATTTTTTTTTTATTTTATCAAAATGCTTTCTTTTCGTCTTCTCATGTAAACTTAAGAAAAAACTAAACAAAAATTAAATATTCTTTTTCTACTCTTGTAACTCGTTTTCGAGGTAAAAATACCAATAAAGAACAATTTTTCAATTTCATATGACTTAAGAGAACTTAATTATAAAAGCTAAAACTAATAGCAATTAACATAATTATATTTATATTATATTTTCAGTAAATTAATTATTGAGGAAATATTTATTTTATTGTATTCTTTCGTTAATATTTCGTCATTTATGACTATTGAAAAATATATACACAAAACACTTCTTCGAATATGCATTGAAGAAATATATAGAAGAATTTTAATTTCTTATTTATATAATTATTTTTGAGTTCAATTTTAAAATGTGATTATATTCTTATTTAAAAATATCAAATATAAATGTTATTAATTAGAAAAACATTAAAATTGTAATTAAATATTATTATATTCAAATTAGAATTTTCTTTTGAAAAGTTTTTGAAAAGAATTGATAAATTTGAGTAGATTATGTAATTTTATCATCAAAATTTACATTAATATTTGTAGCATTTAAAGCCAAAATTTAGTCAATGGTAGAAAAATTAATAACGAAGAAATAAAATAATTTACTCCTGTCTGTTTTTGACGGACCAAGAACAGTCAGTTTGTTTTGTGCAAGTGTACATTTATATCTTTTTAGAGGATTTTTATGAAGTTTTAGTGACTCCTACAAGCATAATGTTCTACCAATGGCTTGCACTTGGTTATTCGTCTTTTAATGATCTAAAGTAGTGGTAGAAGAAAGGAAATATAGTATAGCAGTATTATAGTTAATGTATAGTAAAAACAATTACCGTTAATATAAACTGCTAAATACGTTTGAGAAACAATCATTACAATTGACTGATAAACAATTTAAGTTTATACATGTATCAGCTATATGAAAAATGTATAAATACATTTCCAAGGCTTATTTAATTAATTAAATAGGATAATATTAAAATTGTCAATCAAAATGTGTTCGATATAAATTTTGGATGTCATAATAGAATGTAAGATTATTATTGGAACGGAAGTTTAAGTCACTTGATATGGTGAAAAAAAAATTAAATATCTCTGATGTTGTGACGATGAGACCGAGTTGGTAACGCGGCAGTGCTTGACGCGCACTGTCTCGGGTTCGAAACTCGTTCATGGGCGGCTTCATTTACCGAACGAGATATCAGTTCGGTAATTAGAGTCGCCGTCCCACTCTCCTTCGGACTAACCTCCCGCCCCGGAGTATCATCAATAATTTAGAAACCTCCTCTTTTGTGGGAGATCGCTATTGAATTGGCTTATAAAGCGTTAAAAAATATATATATATATATATATCTTTATTGATTTTGAAAAATATTTGATGTAGTTTGATGATAACTTAAGCTATTTTAATTTCTAACTAATTAAACCTTTTGTGTTTTATGTACATAATTTGGAAACCCTTCTCTTACCATAAACTTTGATGGGTTGATAATAACTTTAGCATAATTATATATTGAGTATGAGCTGTATGCTTATCCACCATACTTTTTATACATAAATTCCTATTTATTCCTTCTGCGGGCAATTAAGTGTCCGAATTACAAAAACAAAAGTGTATAATAAAAAGAATATATCTAAGGTTATATAAAAAAATTACTTTAATTCGTTTATTTTTAAAAAATGTATGATATTTTTAAATAAATAAAGGTTAAAACATTTCGAAATTTACTGATTTTAAAAATCTTCATTTTTCTGAGGATTTCAACCATTTATGGGAAACTAGAGAAAAATTCGTGAGTATTATGTCTTCAACTAAATAAAATTTATGTTCTTTAAACGTATCAATGAAAAAAATCAGTCTAGTCAGTGCTAAGAAAAAGTAGAGAGACACAAAATAAAAAAAAACACATATTAGTAAAGTTAATATCATCTTAGAATCGCAAAGAACCTAAAAGAAAACATTATAATTTTAATAATGTATTACTAAAACATAGTATAGTTAAAATTTGGTCAATAAAATGAATAAATGAACAATTATTAATAAAAATAATATCATAGTTTATCACATTCTATCACTTATTTTCATAAAAATATTGTATTATATAAATACCAAATTAAATTTTTTTGGTATATTTTAAGAACTATAACCTCTATTCATTTAACTAATGGATACTTACTCTTCTCATAGGACGTTTATATTGCGTTTCCTGTTGACTTTTGCTATTATTTTTTATTGGTCTATACAATAACTTATACTCTTGGATAGGACTGTAGCTTTTGACCATCCAAGATATATTGTAAGAATCTTTAGATCGACTTCTTTCGTCACTGGTGAATGTGGCAGCTTTTGGTTTTCCTGCATAATTTTATTATTTTTTATTTAAAAAAAATTTATTTATTCTTTTAATGTTTAATAGTTCTTATTTGAAAAATATGTGACTATATTAATTTAATACAATTATATTCTTTCATTAACGAAGAACACCTCGCAATGTCATGTTAAGTTAGTTAATAAATATAATTGTTTATGTTTTTTATAAATACAGTAATCTTTATAATGATTGTATAAAATTCGAAAATTTTACATTTTGTTTAAATTTTGGTCTACACGTTATTTATCTGTCCAAGTAGCGTTAAAGATACTATATATATATATATAAATTGCTTTATTAGCAACGTTGTGGAATAGACACAATGAAATGTTGACAAAGTAATCCACTTAATATTAATTCGGCAGTAATTAAAATTTATTTTACGCGCGGATGTGGTAATTTGTTGGCTGTAACATTTTTCTAGTGGCAATACAATAAATAATTTCGACTAAGTTTTAAAGTACATCTAAACATTGAAACATGTTACTAAGATTGTATTGTAATAAAATTAACTAAAACTTTGTTGATTACAAATATTTGTTGTATAAATTACCTGTTAGTTCTATGAATTGTCTGCTCTTTCCTAATCCATTATCAGCTACACAAGAATAATTGCCAAAGTCAATTTTCTGTGCTTTTCTTAGACGCAAAGTGTATCGATTTCCTCTGACTTCCATAATTCGCCATTCAGTTGTATCCAGTTGCAACGTATCACGGTACCATAAGACCTAAAAATTTAAAACGACTTAATTTATGACATTCGACACAATATTTATTTATTATACATTTTACAATATACTCGTAACAACAAAATTAATGATTTTTATAATTGTTAGTGCGCGTGAAAACATTAGTAACCAATTTATTGGTTTAGTATTTTTAAGATTTATCGAGAAATCTAAAAGATTGATAAAACATAGAGCGCCCAAGTGTATAAAAATCTTACTTATTTAACTCTAAATCAAAAATTCATTTTATGGTTGTATTATTTGAAAAGAAAAACAATTTTTTTTGATTAATTAGATTGATTACAAATTATTTTAAGCACTCTAGAATTTAAAGTTCTAGAATTTTATATTATACGCCTTTGATGTATTTTCTATATAGATTATTTTTTTTTAATAATAATTAATATAATTATAAATTGTGAAGATTATTTTTCGCAATTTCACATTTTTTTGTTTTTAAATTATTTTAATAATGCTATTTTTAAATTACTTATAATATAAAAATCTACTTTGTTGTGTAAAAATAGGTTTTTTATAATAATCGTAATTTTTTTTAGATGATTATTTTCTAAAGTTTAAAGAAAATAAAAAATACATTTAAAAATAAATCTATTTAGATTCTTTTAAGTTTTTAATACTATTTTGCAACTTTAATATGTTAATACTAATTCTTAAATATTATATCAATATCATTTTAGTTGATCAACTGCATTTATGTAGCCGGAAATTTTCTGAAACACTCACCACGGTTCCGTTAAAAAATAATATTCGAGTTGAGTTTAGATTACACTGTCTATACGAATACGTTCGAAATTGATTGACGTAAAACCAACGGATTTGAGCCTATTGATTAATGACCTGTCTGGGCTTTTGATAGACTTTGGCCTGATTTCCTTTTTTCCGTCTCATTTCAAAACTTAACCACTGACTATATACGCCAATACTTATATTTACGAGACATCTGCAGGTGGTCCCACTGACATCACTTTGAAGTGGATTCCCGTCAGTGGTAACCCCTGTCTATAAAGATTCATCAAGACCATTAAGTATTTTTATTTGATTTTTTTTTTTATGATAAATATTTATTAATTATGAAGTATCAAAGAAATATTTTTAAATTTTACACGAAAAGAATCTATTACATCAGGTTTATTAAAGATCTTAATGAATTAATCAATTTAAAAAGTCAAATTTAAAATAACCTAACAAGTTTTTGAACAATATAATTAAATTGCAGATTTATGTAATTAGTTTGTTTTTAATACATAGCTGAAGTAATAACAACTTCAGCTCGTTAACTTTATGAAAGTTTTATTTGAATATTTTACTAACACGTGCATTTAATCGCATAATGAGTAAACTTATAAATAATAACTTACCCCAAGAAACTTCTAAAATTCAACTTTATAAGATTATAGCAATTACTGAGATTCTTATTGCAATTATGATCACCTTGAGCTTACAACATAATATTAGAGTAATCTTATTATTCGATTTTTTTATTTAACCTCTAAACTAATTAAATAAAAATTTTAACAGGATCTATGACAAAATTAAAACTTGAATAAATTTTCTCAGACCTAAAATCTTAAATTTTGAATTGGTATATAATTATACAATTAATTATATAATTATCAATTAGTTAATGCGTTTTTTTAAGAAAATTTTAGTAAATTAAAATCTTGAATGAAAGTAATAAGAATGGATAAAAAAGAAACATAAGAAACAGATTTTAAAAACTATAAATTTTAATTTTGTTAATCTCTGAAAAAATTTTGCTAATTAATGTTTTTTTTATTGTTTTAAAAAACGGGTTAAGTTAGAAATATTTAAAGGAAAAAGCTATATACTATAGTATTTTATTTACCTTGAACTCATTAATAGATTAATACTTTTGAAATAGCATTCGATTTAAATTTGTCACAATAAAAAGGTATCAATACATCTGATCATTGAGATATTATTTCAATGAAAATTTCATTACATAAAATTGGTAATATTTCTAATGTTTGTAATTATGGATCAATTTCAAAGATATCAATTATACCGAAAATTTTTGAGGCCTCAAATACTAATAAATTTTCTGCTATAATGAAAAACTGCTTCTCTAACTATCAGCATGGATTTCTATCAAAACATTCAATATGTACAAATAATCTTGTATTTTAAACCGATATTTTAAATGGTATTAACGAAGGCCCACAAATTGATTACATATACAATACATTTTAAAAAACGTCTGATAAAGTTAATCACAGACTGTTGTTAATAAAATTGCATTGTTATGGTGTTAATGGATATTTGTAAAGTGTATTGAATTTTATCTTTATGATCGTACGCAACTAGTTAAAGTTAACAAATATATTATCTGAAGAATTTATTGCTTTTTCAGGTGTACCTCAAGGCTCTCATTTGGGTCCGTTATTGTATAATATTTTTATTAATGATTTGCTTTTTATCTTTGATAATGACACTAAGATTTTTTTACTTGCTGATTATACAAATTTATAGTAAAGTCCGCTCTTATGATGATTGTAATTTTTATAAACTAATTTAAACCGATTTATAGAATGGAGTATTTTTAATTGTCTAAATTTAAACATAAATAAATGTCTTATTATATATTTTGTTCGTAATAATAGTTTAATAATTTATAATTATTATATATCAAGTATTTAATTAAAAATATTGTCATCAGTTAAAGGCTTGGGTATTTATTTTAGTTCCAATTTGACATTTATTTTTCATGTTAATTTCACTATTAATAAATCTTTAAAAAAGCTTGGTTTTTTAAATAGAACATTTAAATAGTACAATTAAAAAAAAATTGCATAATATCTTTATATTGCTTTTTGGTTAGAGTTTGGTTCTCTTATTCAGTCTCCTAATTATACAACCAATATTTCAAAATTTGAGAATGTTCAATTTAAATTTTTAAAAATACTAGCTTTTAAGATGAAACTATCTATATCCAGATATTCTTTTACATTAGTACCGAACTCAGTTTGCCTTGGTACATGTGAAATCAGGCGTAAATAAAAAGACATTATGTTTAGTTATGACCTTATAAATTTTAACATTGATTGTCTTGAACTATTATTCCAGGTTGGATTTCTTACCTCAGTTAATTTTATTTAACCTCAATGTTCATTTTATATACCTAAATTTAAAACTAATCTAGCAGCTGGATATTTTTTCCCTGGAGTTTTAAAACTATCCAATTTAGTTTGTATGTATTGTAATTCTTTTTATAAGTCTCATGATCATTTTAAAAATAATATTTTTTCAACACTTAGCTCTACTTTCATTTCTTAATTTTTGTACTTCTATCATTTTTTGTTTTGTTTTTTTATGTACAGCTTATTTATTATGGATATTATTGACAAATAGTTATATCATTTAATGATTAGTATTTCTTTTTCTATATGTAATGTTAATTGTTGTCCTTAAATAACGTTTATAAAAATGTCGATTTTTCAGTTGATGCTATATAAATAAATAATTTTATTATACAAGTAACTATAAATTATTATAAATAATAGTGTCAATAATTTTGTTTTAAATAAACGGCAATCGTTTTAACCATAATATTATTAAACAGCCATAACTTGAAAAAGTGATAAGAAATTGGATTGGAGTATGTTACCCTTAACAAAAATGGTTAAAACGTTTTAAATTACACCTAACGATTGCCAAGTAGATGCGTGTTGGATAATTTGATCCCGGGGGTATTGAAAGTCATGATAAATTACAAATTTAAATCGGCTCGACCTAGTCCAAAGGAAGATGGTAGAAGAAATAAGGTTTGCTTGTTTTCTCTTACATGCGTACCCACACATATGCCAAACTCCATGTACGGTTAGCGCTTTTTAGCGTTTTATATCCTTTTGAGATGAAATATATACATATGGGTCGTTCACAAAAAGCTGGAATATGTGGTGGCTAATATTAAAGGTGGATGAAGTTAAAGGAAAAAAGAAATAAAGAGGATTCTTCGATGCATAAAAAAAAGAACGATGTAAAAAAAAGAACCAAATAAATATTTTGCCAAACATTCATACATAGTGAGTAAAAGCGCATGGAATGGAAATTTCTTTCAGGCAACCCAAACAATCCATTTTTGTGTTTGCGGGAAAAGCCTCTACGTTGTTGCTCTTGTATGTGCATATTATATATTACGTTTAATATTTAGTATTTTATGAATAGTATTAAATTTTAAAATCCGAACATAGTTTGATGAGTTACCTATTTATAAATATGTTACCTAATATGACTTTTATATGGCTATAATTTTTCAGCATTGGTGTGGCGTACATGCACAGAAGTGGACCTTTGCAGCAGTTATGAAGATTAATGTGCTAATAGTATTATTCAACCTTGTAAAAACTAGCAAACAATACAGAATCGTCAACCAAGGAAATATTACAATAAATAACTTTAAATGTAAATACCAAATTTTAAATTCCTAACCTTAAGCCATCCAAAAAGAGCAACCTCATTAAATACGAAGAGTTTTATTGATGCAATATAATATATAATAAAATATATAATTGATGCAGTATTTGTTGTTCACCTAAAAACAACACTTTATTTTTTTAAGAATCAGGATTGCTTTGAATTTATTTAAAACTAATAATCACGATTGGCATATTATATACGGTGATATTATAAATAAGAATAAAAAAAACAAAGAAGAAATAAAGTAAAATCAATAAATTTGTTGTTTATATACAGCCGAAAATAATGTTTTGAACAATGAAATTGTTAGAGCAATAAAAAATTTATCACACAAACAAATATTTTGTTCCTGTGACGAAAATTTGATAATTTAACAATAAAAAAATTGTCGACCGTAATTTATTTTCCAGTGTAACGTTTAGAATAACCTAAATAATAACATAGGATTACACAGAATTTTTTCTATCATATCTGTTTTTTGAGATAATTACTAACCAATAATAAAAAAATAGATAAAAAAAAAATTGTATAATTGTAAAAAC